GTGGGTTTCGATGGGAAGCCGCATGAGAAAACAGATCGTAGAGTAGTTGAGCGCTTGCGGGACATCCTAGAGCCAGAGCGAACTCCCGAGCAGCAGCAGGAATTACACCGGAGTGATGAGGATACGACATGGTTTGGCATCGCCCGGGACTCTGCAAATCTTCCAATTTTCCAGGACTATGAGAGATATGCTTCAATCATGGCCCAAAGTCGGACAAGCGAAGTCAACGTTAGGTATCCGCAACTCGTTTCGTTTATTGGACAGACAGGTTAGAATACCCGAAACATCTGATGTATTCTCCTCCCCGTGTTCAGAAGCTAACATCTTTATGTATTCTAGGTGCGGGTAAGAGTACACTAGTCAAGATGTTGATTGACCACCAGGAGAATGCTCTAGAAATGGGCAATCGAACCAGTAGATTTTCCTCCCCAGTCACGGGTTCGATCAACGATAACATTCCAACTTCCGGAGACGTTCATCTATACTCAGACCCTGCAACCTACTACAGTGCTAGGCCAATGCTCTATGCGGACTGCGAAGGACTCGAGGGTGGTGAAAATGTCCCGCGTGGTGCGAGATACAAGCTTCGAGACGATGCACCTCCGCAAGCTGCCCGATCCTCGAGTGCACGTAATGATCCGAAATTTCGCAAAAAGATTCGCAAGGCTGCTCACAGCTCTCAGAGAGATATAGCATGGGCAACAACACCGGAAACTCGTAAACGAGAATATGCCGTTACCCAATTATATCCTCGCCTGCTTTATACCTTCTCGGATGTAGTTGTCTTCGTGCTTCGCAATCCAAAGTAAGAACTCATTCTTACACTACCGATAGTATGGAAAAACTGATTTGATTTAGGGTTTTTGAATCAGTTGTCCTTGAGAAACTTCTTGACTGGGCGTCCGCATCGATTGAAAAGTCACTCAACCAGCCGGCTCTGCCTCATGTCATCATTGCCCTTAATGCTACAGATCTTCAAATTGACGAGAAGCAGTGGGGCGTCAGAGAAGCAACCGCGATCTTGATGTCGGATATTGAGGGTGCCATTTCTCGAGTCCCACGCTTTGGAGAGTATGCACACTTATGGCGCGAAGCTGGCCGACCAATCGCGACAACGAAGGATCTGCTGGAGTGTTACTATTCATCAGTGACAGTGGTGAGAATTCCTACTCACGGACGTTATATGCTCATGAATGAGCAAATTAGCAAACTTCACAGTCAGATTCAAACCTGCTGTGAGGCTTCCTACTTGACTAAGAAACGTGTTCGTATGTTATCAAACGATGAAAAGCTTCAGGTCTACCTCCAATCTGCTTTTGACCATTTCTCGCAGAATCTTGAAGTTCCATTCGATTTTGTGAAGGAGGCCGTCAAGAACAATCCAATTCCACGCGATTTCGGAGGTAATATTCTGAAGCTAGCTATAGCAGTGAGGGATCACAACAGCTTCGTGGATCAGTACGATGGGGCAAAGATTTTTACAGAGCTCAGTCATATGGTCGCATCATGTTTGATGCTTAATTCTGCAAGACAAAGTCTACTTGGTAAGCAAGACTAGAATCACTGGCAGCTTGCCTCCTATGCTAATGCCGATCAGGCTCGACTGTGCAATTGCTTGAAGATATCTATGCTGACATGTGTGACGAGGCACTTGACAACTTTTGCAATATGTACTGGCCCTGCAGCTTCAGGAATGCAAATGGGCAATGTTGCAATATGAAGTCGGGACATAACCCCAAAGGACACCAAAATAGCAATGGAAAGATTCTTGCAACGGGCGGATACGAGTCGAACTTCCACTTCGACGACTACGCCGACGAATGGATAAACAATATCAAAGTAGAATTAGAAAAGATTCAACAGGAGGTTCACCTAACGATGTTTCGCCATACATCTTGGACAGAACCCGATGCTGCAGCGAAAATCCACCGGCGCATGATGAACGAGTTTTACAGAAATGTGGGAGACGTTTACCAATTTGTCAGTCATTCGACATGTTTTTCATGTCTGAGAGAATTGCCAGAGCATCCGCTGCCATGTGGGCATATTTTATGCACCCCATGTGTCAATTCGTATGGTCGCCAAGCGGAGAAAACCGTAATGAAACTGGATGCGTGCCCGCTACATGTGGTTGACACAGAATTCGTCAACGATTTCCCTTGGAAAATCAAGATCAAGCCTTTGTACGCTGGAACAAGAATCCTGAGTCTTGATGGGTAAGTGAAGTCTACGAACGTCCATTAAAGATCACTCATCTAATCTTGTCTCCAGTGGTGGTGTTCGGGGCATTGTCGAGCTTGAAGTATTAAAGGCAATCGAGAAAGCTCTGGGTGGGAACTTGCCAATACAAGCCTTCTTTGATCTTATTGTCGGGACAAGGTAATTGAAAAGCTTTCCTGGGATGATTGATCGCTAATGCACTTCAGCACCGGTGGAATAATTGCCTTGGGACTTGGTGTAGAAAATTGGACTGTCGATCAATGTATCAGCAAATTTACTAGTTTGTGCGGCGATGCATTCACACCACGAGAGTTTCTCCACGTCCCTCTACTCGGGAAGCTGTCAACTTTCAATCACCGGAGTATGTACAAGACAAAGCCTTTTGAAAAAGCCTTGCAAGAGTCTTTCGATGAGAGACCCCTCTTTGGAGGATTGAATAGTCAGGAGGGCCACATGATAAAAGTGGCGGTGACCTCGACAACTCTGATGGACCAGCAACCAGTTGTGCTGGCAAACTACAATCGCCCTGACTCTCAGGAATATAGTAAGATGAATCTTTCTCAAATTTGATATGATATTTACATCGTTTCAGGCAGCTACACCTTCGAACGTCAAGACAAACCAACGATGGAGCTGAAAACTTGGGAAGCGTAAGGGAAATGCTTTGTCACTTGTTGCACCTAGCTAACCTAATTAGTGCACGAGCAACTTCAGCAGCGCCGCCGTACTTTAAGGATTTCACAAAGAACGAGACGAAGACTGCCTATATTGATGGCGCTCTATATCACAATAATCCGGTGGGAGTTGCACATCACGAGAGAATGCTTATCTGGAAGGATGTTGGAATGAAGCAGCCAGATATATTCCTATCAATTGGAACAGGACACAATGGACACGCTGAACAAGACACTCCGGTCTCAACTTCGTTGTTCGGGAAGTTCAATACGACTAACAAAAAGGAACTTCCTCCTCGCCCAAATGTTCCCCTCGGAAATCTCAGGACCTTCTCCACCTTTACTGGGCAGCTCTGGAGCACCGTGAGCAGCAGGTTTGACAACATTCTTAATTGTACCAAGATATGGAACGATTTCCGTTTGGACGTCCTAGGAGGACCTTATACGAACGGTCGACGACGATACATAAGACTGAACCCAGACTTAGGATTCAAAGTCCCAAAATTGGATGCAGTGGACGATCTTCGTGATATTCAACAAGCCGCCCACGATCACTTACAGGGTAGTGCTGCTAACGCACGAACCAAAGAGGTAGCCCATCGGTTGATTGCAAGCACTTTCTTCTTTGAGAAAACCGACGCATCAGCGAGAGAGCAAGAGGGGAAGTATGAGTGCGATGGTGCGTTACCTTACGATATTCTGATATTTTGATATCGGGGCTAATTGTAAATAGGTTTTATCTGCTGTCGTTTTCACACAGGAACTGAAGAGATGAAAGCTCTCGGTCAATATATTCTTGATTGCATGAAAGGGAGCTTTGAGCCTTATTTCATCGTCCAGGAGGATCGAAAATACGAAAATGTACAAAAAGTTCTAATATCTGAAGATGTGTTGAAAGAGATGTATATCAGAGGCAGATTTCTTATCGGCCCAATCCACATCACTGTATCAAAGCAGTTATCGACTACCGCCATCTACCTCTGCTTACAAGAAGCGCCGTATCCCTATTCGGGCGATTCGAACCTCCCAATAAGTGGATTTCCGAGAACACTTATGACGGAGGATTTCACGCAAAGTAAGCGAGCTACAACACGTCTATGGTCTTCACTGACGATTGAATAATAGAGCCCGTACCTCGTACCACAGTTGCCAGAAACAGAAATAGTGGATCCTTTAAAGGCCGCCCGACTCGCCGCCGCCGTCAAGTGCTGCAAAAACCGGCATCTTCTGGAGAAAGCTCTTCCAGCCAATCCTCTTCGTTGAGACGAGTCAAGTCGCAATCCAATCTCAAGCAAGACCAGCCCGAGACAGCTTTCCCTGCTACCCCCGAAGATGTAAGCCGATGGTCGAAGAGACGCAATTCTATCGACACGATGTCACAAGCAGGAGTCTATGAGCTGGATGATACGAGTTTAACAGCAGCCCCTTCTGATATGTCGATCGATTGGGACGAGATCCCCTCCATAAGGAGAAAGAAGCCATTTCGTTTTGTCATCTAGATGTACAGTACAAGGATATAATTTCTTTCAATTTTTTTACCACTGAGGTGCACGGGTATTGTCTTACTTTCCTTACATATACGATCTTCATCAAAGTTTCATGTAACTGATGTATTTGATCTCCTGCTCTTTATTATTGTAAGCCGAGAAAGTATAATAAGAAAATGACAGACACAAAATCAAAGGCAACGCAATTTATTCCTGCACCATCCATAACCTCCTGACGAAGCTCCACCATCTGTCGAGCAACCACTTCCTATCTTTCTCTCTTGTGCCTCGCATTCGGTTAGTGCTCCGCTCTTGTTCAGGCGCTAATCATCCTCGGCTCAGCTAGCTCACCTGACCAGCCTGACCAGCCCCCCACCATTAGATTTATCACCTCTTTATGTGTTTCAACTTTTCACTCTATTTTCCCAGGGGCCTGTGAGGTCATAGGATAACGCTCCTAAGGTCGAAGATATCCTGGAAAGTTTTTTATAAAAAGCAAAACTCGCGATTTATATATATTATTAATTTGTGCGCTAATATTATTTTTTAATAACCGGCATTAGCAAGTACTTACTGTATTAAAATAAAAATTATAATTAGAATAATAAAAAGTTATTTTTGTCCTCGGTGAGACTCGAACTCACGACCTTTGGATGGCCAGACTGTTTGCAATCTAATCATACCGATGTATGAGACCAACGCTCTAACCAACTGAGCCACGAAGACGCTGTGTGGAAATCTTGTTTCTTGTGACAGTATCATACTATTTTAAAGTATATGCCCCGAGTCTCTAACCGAGGCTTTCGAAGATTTTGATTGGGCGTTGCGGATCAACTTCGGCCAAGGAGCCTAAAGTCAAAAGCTTAGGCGAGTTTTCACATGTGTTATTCCACATCTTATCCGGTCGAGCGCCAAATGTTAAAGACTTTTTCAAAGCGCCTCAGAATTATGGACGCTTCCTAAACCTGCAACCCCTTGTTTTGCCATCCTTATTTTACGGGCTCTTCACTCTCTTCACCATCACTTCCCACCTTAGTTTATGGGATTATTCATTTCTTAGTACCTGCATTTTCATTTTTAGTAGCAGAATCGTTTCGTAATGCACAAAGAGATAGATAAAGCTCGTCTTTAAATGGAGTGATTAACGGGTTGAGCTCTATCTCCACAATATCCTCAAAAGCTATAGTCGAGAGAACTCCCATACACTCAGCTGCAGCCTTTTGGAGAGTAGAAACCTTATTCTGCTACGACATAGATGAGACCCCGTTCCCGACGCCTGAGAGCCTGGTACTTCGAAGTAATTAAGTGATCTAGTGGATACAATTGGAAAGCTGTGGTAATCAACAGCTGCGGTCGCAAATCGTTTTGTTCGGGGGTGTAAGAGGGTGCAGGAGCAATTTGAGTATCGAAGTCGAAGCCACGCACACTGCCGGAACCTCCTTCACGAGTTCTATCGCGCGTTCGACAATCTGAGCTTGGTGCTTCCAGTCACCGAAATGATACAACTAGAGGTCTTGGTATTTTCCCGGCAAATGGATGTTTTTCAACCAATCTTTTCCGAAACTATAATATCCAGTGTATCTGGCGCACCTCTAAATCTCTCATGGAACTAGGAAGTCCATGAAAGACGTAATGCGAGGAGTTTGACGTCTGATTTGCCCTCATCAGCTGGTCGGTCTTAATAATTTGGGGCACCCGGAAACATGCTGTCGCTATCGGGGATCGGCTTACCATAAGACATCAATCAACTTCGAGAATTAGTTAAGGTGGAGCGATCAAAGTTGAGCAACTCATAGAAGGCTTCTTCTTGGCTCTCTTTCCTGCTAATTCTGAATCGTGGGTCGTAGGCAATGTAGGTCGTCTTGGCGCAGAAACTCCTTTGGTTTTGAGATATGTGTTTGTATATACTGAATTAATACTAATCCATTGTACACTCGAATCAACTGGAATATATTTCCGTGGTAGTCTTTGCGTGCTGTGCGACTTGTGATTTACGAGCGGGGAGCATGTCGGGCATGATCGGCGAGAGACCTGATATTTGCTACTTGAGGAGTCGAACCCAGGCTTTGAATCCATCCTGTACGTATCTTGTGACGGGCAAATATAACACATGATTTGGACCTCTTTATACTTGCCATCAAATGACCGTTTTTTTCCAACAATGCTTCCCTTTCGATGTGCGATTTCACGAGCAACTTGATTTCCTTTGTAGAGCAAGTGGGTGTAGAGAGAGGAAATGAGGCTTTTGTTCTCAAAGAGGACCACGGTATCATCAAGAACCTCTTCATCAAAATGATGAAGCACCCAAGCGGCGACACCCGGAGGCAGGCTGTTTAGCGTATAAGTGGTCCTTCCAGCTTTTTCGTTAACTACTGCACTAGCACAGTCCGAAAGAGCTCGAGCTGCAACAAGTAGACCATTAGTAGCTCCATCACGGGCGAAATTAATCACTCGCCGGTGCAAAAATGAATGTTTTGCTAATCCCAGCAAGGATCACCGCGAGAGTGAGACATGCATCATATTGTTTTCCATTCTCTATAGATGTAGGTGTCTCCAAGATCCACTGAGGGTGAGGTATGTAAACAATAACGCGCTCAATCGTGCTGCCCTCTATTTGCAACGAAATCTGAACATTCTTGCCTTCGTTCTGGACAATGTATGTACGCATGTTTTCACGTGCTTGAACTCTATCTCGATTCTGCGACCCAAAGATTACAAGCACCTTCTCCAAACAGGTTGTTTCACAGGCATTGCGGAAGGTGGTGTGGCACTTAAGCAGATCTTTTGTATAGTTCTTAGTATGAGATTGCTTGCCCGTAGATATTTCTCGACGAAAGTGTATTCAAACCAAAACATGTTTTCGGAATTAAGACTTTTTTTAAAGAGTAGTAGGAGGCATGGATTGGTGTCATCTGCAGTTTGACCGAAGTCGACAGCCTTAGAAGCACAAACAAAGCTAGGATAGTGTAGCATCGCTGCTAGTGGGACAGAAAGATGGCCAGAGGGACGAACGAGGTGTTTCTGAGCCCTTTGCGAGAGCAAATGCTCCTCGTTCTCAAAATCTAGATAGATTCTGGAGGGGAAAGATTCGTCTGTCGTTCGGGAAGGTATGCTAAAGCACTGCGCTAATTTGTTTTGGAACTGTGGAGGTAGTTGCTGAGTAAATGCCATAACCGAGCTTTATCGATTCCCTTGATACTCTCCTAAGCGCAGCATTTTTCATTTAGTATAGGGAAGCAAAATGGGTGCTTAACGATAGATGTTATATGCTGGTATACTCGGATTTCCAGCCTTGATTGAACTGGCCACCCCTGAACAGAAGGAAAGCCAGGAGCATGGTGAGCGAGCGGAAACTGCGGCCGATAAATATCATACCTGTGTTGCAGATGTGCAAGAGACATCTCTAATCCATAGGCAGGAGGAAACCCGCAGCAAAGCAAGGGAGCAATGAAACGTGCTAGAAAGGCAGTATTTTCCCCTGAGGAAACAGTAAAATATCGAACGAAGGAAGAGAGGAAGAAAAGGATAGTAGCACGGAAAGAATCCTTATCTCCAGAGGAGAGAATGAGGCGGGAGAGAAGGCAGAAGGCAATCTACTGTAGAAAGTAGAGAAAAAGTACACGGATCCGATCTTCACGACGCAAGAGCAAGGTGGCAACTGGGAAACTTGCGGCGATTCGGAAGATCGAAAAGGGCACATATAGTTCTAACAATGGTTGTAGGCCATCAGCTTTTATTGGTTCGTATTTCAATTGAATCGTGTTAGAAGTTGCTTTGCTGCTATCACGAGCTTTCGTCCCTTGATCAATAAAATCCATTCGGATAATGCTCTATGTAAAGTAATATCAATAACACAAATTAAATCCCATTAAAGAGAAATTCAAGCAAAAAGCATAGTTAGTGTGCTGAGCGAATCTAAGAAGCCAGGTAGAGCAGCAACTCATGATCTCTTCTCTCTTCTTGGGATCCTTTCCTGCTATGGGAAGCACTCTTGAACAGGGAGGCGGCTTTTATAGAATGCTTGGTTGTAGACTTCTTGTTTGTAGTTGCCGGGATTTGTTTGCGGAGTGAGCAAGATTTGGCAAAGATAGGAAAATAGCTTCCTGGTTCGTCCTAGCCTATTCACTTTAGATGAGGTCAGAATTCGAACCCATGATGTGATTTTGTAACGTAGTCGTCCCTTAGTTTCTTTAGGTGACGAGGGTCGGCTATTTATACATTCTTGTCAGTTCAGGGTATGACGCCTTGCCTATTGTGGTTTAGCGTGGAACAGCTCCTGAGATTGCCATCTCTCAACACCACTCCTTAGAATTAGTTCTTCAGTTATTCCAATATATTCAGTGATTCCTGCAACTTCCAATTGCCTCAATTGCACCAATATTCTCTGATCCGACAATTCTCGACTCAATAAATAATTTCATTCTAAGATCATCGGCAACCATTATCGAGTATACGGGAGGCGAGGAGCTGCAGAATTTTGACTTTGTACTACTATTGAGTTCTTGGTTAGGGGTTTGCGAGAGAGTGTTCAGGCGAAATGAAAGGCTGTTCTGACCAATTCGAGTGATTCGACCTGAAGTTAACCAAACGTACTATTAATCCATTATTCTTGCTGTCGGCATTTCTCACGTTCATACTCGAAAAGTCAGTATATCTTACCCAAATATTCTCAATACCGTACATGACTAGGATGAGAGAGGTTGAGACAGTACACAGAGCAATTGAACAGAGAGGGTCTTGGCTCTGATTAAATACAGAAAATAGGAGGTAGAAAACCATGATTGGCTGCCAGCCACACATCCATTGCTGGGGTTGAAATTGTTGTATTTTCTGGTTTTTAGCTAGCATGGAGAGCGTGTAGGATTTATAGACGACCTGTCCCCTACTCTCACAAGTCTCGCTAAGCTATATGAAGAGAGAGCTTTAACAGCACATCACCTTTTGGAACCGATTCCAGCGTCCTCTTTGCTTCTAAACCAAATAGGGACTTCGCAGTAGCTAGAGCATATCTTATATAAATATTCCCTGTTTTCCATCCTTTACACAATTCTCAAAGCTAGCAGCAAGCGGCATAAACGACAAAGCATATGGTGGAAAAGCTACCTGCGATATGGAATGCTTAAGAGGGAATCAAAGATTTATGTATAGATTGAATAGAGCAGGCTATCTTTGCTTTAATCATTTTAGAGTTGGGTGAGAGTTGAAATTGAGGAAGTGCGCTGTCGACTTGTATTCTTGCTGTCAACAAGTTTCACGTTTCTTTTCTGGAAAAACCCTCGATTTCCCGCCTTGTGGGGGTTAAATTTTCCTAACACGAATTTCCTTAGTAGACGTATCTAGCTGCCAAAACCTCATAGCGCAGCTCGAAGTTGCCGTCACTTTCCAACCCGGGGCAAGAATCCAGCTCGATTCGTCTCGAGAAGTGGGTGCGGTGTTCCATTACAGAATTATCGAGGGTGGAACGCTGATATTTATACCTAGGCTGTGACCTCCCCTGACCTTAGACCTCTGTTTGAGGCGCTGGCGGCGAGCATTTTCGGATTCGTCAATATTCATCTCCCATTGAGCCTCTAACTCAACCATCGCAAAGAGCTCTCGTCGTGGTTTGGATCAGATGGACACGGCCTAAGAGGATAAGTATATTAAAGCACACTAGACACTTCCAAAATTCTACATGATCGACGGAAGGTGGCAGGTAGGCGATCATGAGGAGGGGAAAGGGACCG